AGAGGGAGAGAGGGAGAGAGGGAGAGAGGGAGAGAGGGAGAGAGGGAGAGGGAGAGAGACAGAGTGCTATGGTGTAGGAACAGGGGCAGCAGAGGGAGAGCTATGGTGTAGGAAACTGGATTGAGCTTAGAATGAGCAAGGAAACCTCAGACCCTGAAAATGCTCTCTGCCCGACAAGATGGTGCTCTTTTCTCAAGCTGGGGCCTCCAGGGAAGGTTCTGATTTGCCATTCACCTGTGACCTGGAGCATTTGGAGCTTGCAGCTGGAGCCTGACTGGGGGCTGTCCTACAGTGCTGACTGCTTAGTTACCAGGGGAAGATGTCCACCAGAGATCACCAGCAAAAATTATTATGCTAGACAGAGCCCTGGGGTGCAGTAAAGTCTTGTTTCTGTAAAGTCATGTTGGAGGAGAGTCTCAGTGCCTGCAATGAGGACAGTCACTATGGGGAAATGGGGGGGGACACCTGCAGGTGAAGGCCCCCAGGCTCCTCCCAGCCTCCAGCAAGCAGAACTGCAGGTCACACCAGACAGGTGCCCTCTGAAGGGAGAAGAGACTGTACTCTAGAATACTGAAATTACTAAGGAAAAGTGGTTTACTGGGAAAAGTAACCCCAGGAAATTAGATGTTCTATAATTTTGTCTTGTAGACTTTTCCCCCTTGTCATGTGTTGCAGATTTAATCAGAAACACTGAGTTGAAAAACTCCAGTCTTTTTCTAGTCCAGCCCTGTAAGCCTAAACCGTCGACCTCTGTCTCAGCTGTGCACATGGGGCTTGTGTGTTCACAGCTATGCACACCCCAGACTCCATCAGAGACTCATGGAAGCAAGCTGTATGCATACCAGTAAAGCTGATTTCTCAAAGCAGAGCCCAGAACACCACTCCAAGCCACCAAATCTAGACGTGGGGCCTGAACACAACACAACTCTCTCAAGAGTTCAGGTTCAATGCATCCACAAAACTTAATTCGAAGCTCACTACTTGGGCATGGGGGAGTGGGAGGGCTGTCTGCTGGCTTCTGAGACTACAAGGAACCAAGCAGGATGTCCTGACCTTCAATGCACTGGTCACTTTCCTAGATGGCATGCACCTTCCTGCTCCCTCAGCAGCTTCAAGTGGGCAAAGCATTCCTTTCCCCCAACAGACTCACTAAAGTTACCTGCTTCTATGGATTTGTGATGCATTAAAACAATAACGACACAGATTATCATAAATTCCTATGCACAAATAAAACATCTAGTCCCCAACTTGCAATGGGGATGGGGCATGAGGAAAGCTTCTCTAAGAAAACCCCCAGACTTGGAAGCTGAACACTGAAGAGGTGTAATAATAAAAAAAAATACTGAGGAAGGCAGAGTCCCCCCCATTAGGATGCACTGAGGAAGTCAGGGTTTTCCTGTAGCTTTGGAGGCTGTCCTGGAACTAGCTCTTGTAGACCAGGCTGGTCTCGAACTCACAGAGATCCACCTGCCTCTGCCTTGCAAGTGCTGGGATTAAAGGCGTGTGCCACCAACACCCAGCTAAAATATTCATTATTTTATAGTATTTAATATGCTGGAGAGCATGATTTTTTTAAACTGAATAATAAGGAATAAATCCAGTATTTGATTGGTGAGCAAGGATGTAGGTACTAGTGACAAAAGTCTTGTCTTCATAAAAATATTTTTACTACCATTGATGCCCTCATCACTGTTCTCCCTCTCTCAACAAGACACTTCTGAGCAGTGAAAACCCTGTCTGCTGAGCAGTGAAAACCCTGTCTGCTGAGCACCCCCCCCCCCCCCCCGACACAGTGTTTGAAGAGCTCACCCCAATGCCTAGTGAGACCAGACCCAAGTCCTAGTCCCCGCCCATCACTGAGGAGCAAGCACCAGGAATGTTCTAGAATGGACCCATCCCCAAGGCTGGGATTATCAGTGTCTGTGCTAAAGAAGGAGGACAATCTACTTGACCTCTCTGACCTCACGCTCCTCTGTAGAATGGAACTAGCACTTCTCTCCAAAAGCTGCCTGGTACATGGTGGCACAAATAGCTGTGAATCCTCAAGTCCTATACAAAGCTCGGACTAACCACTCCTGTAAAACATAAAGTGGGGAGGGGGGGGATGGATAAGGGTGGGTATCAGCAAGACAGCTGCACATCAAACTATCAAAGAATAAATTAAAAATATTCTTTAAGCTGAGCATAGCGTCACACACCTTTAATCCCAGCACTCAGGAGGCAGGGGCAAACAAGGCCAGCCTGGTCCACAGAGAGAGTTCTAGGACAGCTAAACCTACAGAGAAACCCAGGCTCAAAAAATACAAAATATAAAATGAGCTGTGTGAAGATATGAGTGACATAAGGAGTGTGACTGCGGAAGGAAAGAGGCCAAGTCTCTGGTCAAATGCACGAGGAGAGAAAGACAGACCAGAGGATATATGGGTTGGCAGCTTATGAGCACAGAGAGCCACGGGACAGGTTCACACCTCAATAGGGCTTAGGACAGACGTCAGCCCCTTAACTTGCTATTAGTGTGAACTCGCAGCTGAAACAAACTAGGGCCTTCTCCTGACCTCACTCAAAGGAATGAAGCTTCAGTTTGTCTGAAGCGCCTTGCATGCCAAAGGAATTCAATCCTTTTGTTTTTCTGGGGTCCTGCCAGTGGTCTGAACCAACAAATAGAGCTGCTGGCTCATCCATCTGAGATAAGCTGCCAACCCCTTCTCAGGAGCACAATACCTTTCTGCTTCAAAGAAGTCCCCTAAGTGACCTGCTCCATGCCACAACAAAGGAAGCCAGACTCCAGCATAAGACTTTCTTCTCACTTGTTAAAACAGCATTTAATAACTCACATAAAAACAACTTGTCAGGGGGCTGGAGAGATGGCTCAATGGTTAAGAGCACTGACTGCTCTTCCAGAGGACATAGGTTCAATCCCCAGCACCCACATGGTGGCTCATTGTAACTCTAGTTCCAGGAAACCTGACACACAGACATACACGCAGGCAAAACACTAATGCACATAAAATAAAAATAAATCATTTAAAAATCAATTTGTAAGGCCAGACGGTGGTGGCACACACCTTTAATCCCAGCACTCAGGAGGCAGAGGCAGGTGGATCTCTGCGATTTCAAGGCCAGCCTGGTTTACAGAGTGAGTTCCAGGACAGCCTCCAAAGCTACAGAGAAATCCTGTCTTGAAATACCAAACAAAATGGCCGGGCATTGGTGGCGCACGCCTTTAATCCCAGCACTCAGGAGGCAGAGGCAGGGGGATCTCTGTGAATTCAAGGCCAGCCTGGTCTCCAGAGCGAGTGCCAGGATAAGATCCAAAACCAAACAGAGAAACACTGTTACAAAACCCCCCCCCAAAAAAAAAAAAAAAAAAAAAAAAAAAAAAAAAGTCAGAGACTTACCTCAAATTCTTCCCAAAAGCCCTGTTTGACTTTATCTGTGGTCTCAGCTAACTTGCTTAGCTCTCGAACCCGGCTTTCGATTTCAGCAGCATTAATACGAGTTGTGTTGAGAGGCTGTTGTGTTCAGCAGTGGTGGGAAAGAAAGAAAACATATTTAACAATGTTAACATGGAAAGAAAAAGACTTCACAAAAGCAAAGGCAGGATGATACACATCATCTCAAATATGTGCATGTGTGCGAGTGCTTTTATGCATCTGTGTGTGCATTGTGCATTTGTGTGTCCGTGCATGCATATGGGTGTGTTCGTGTTTGTGTCTCCATGTATGCAGGCGCCTATGTGCATGCATGAGTGTGTATAATCTGTGTGTGGTACCTGTGAACGTGTGTGCATTGAGGACAGGGGTTCCCCTTCCTTGTTTAGGTGGGCTGCAGAGATAGAACTCAAAAGCATCAGCAATCCACCAGAGCTACCATGAGCCAATACCACCATCAAACTCTCTTTCACTTTCTCTTTTATTCCATCAGGAAATGCCTCTTCATTCTCAAAGAACAGGTTAGGAACTCAGCTGATACAAATTCAAACCTAGATTTCTACACAGTTAAATCACACCATGATTTCCAGATGGGACCACTGTCATAAAAGTGAAACAGCTGAGCCTGTCCTGTCCCTTGCCAGCCGCCACAGGCAGGAGAACTGGCTCCACCCCTCACCTGGGCAAATCAGAAGAGCTGGCCCTGGTGTCGAGGGTGCAGGAAAGCTGACCAACTCAGCTACCATCGAGGCCCACATTCAGGGCTTTTGAGTTGGCCCACCCCAACATCTACCCCATCCATGAACTGCTGGAGTATGTGAAGGGGCCAGTCTGGCAGAAACAAGCTGCAGGATCTCCACAACATAGAGAAACAGGATATCCAAAAGGATTCCAGGTAAGGAACCAGTATTGATGGTGCTGCAGAAGCCAGAGGCCTTGAACCAGTCCAATGACTCATTGCAATGAACATTTGCAAGTGAAGCTGTTTGGACAAAAGGGTATACTGTGTGACACACCACAGCTTCCACTGAGAAATTTATTTTTGTTTGTTTTCTTTTGGGGGGTTGCAATGCAAGGGCAGAAGAGGGATAGGAAGACAAGTGGGATTGGGGTGCGTGACATAAAATTCACAAAGAATCAATAAAAAGTTAAAAAAAAAAAAAAAAAAACAGTGAAACAGAAAAGACACTGAAAAAGCATCAGTAAAGACTCTGAGAAAGCATGAGCCCTAAGGGAAACTAATGGTAATTTGCAATGAACAGTTTTTTGTTTTTGTTTTTGTTTTTGTTTTAATGTGCATTAGTGTTGGCCTGCATGTCTGTGTGAGAGTCAGGACTACTATAACTTAGAGAGTGCTGGGAATTGAATCCAGGTCCTCTTAAAGAGCAGTCAGTGCCCCCAACCACTAAGCCCCTGAAGACTTCTTTTAAAGGGCACAAGAGTACCTGTGTTTAAGCCCAACATGGAGATAGGAAGATCATGAGACGAGCAGGGCTACGTGGCATGACTATCAAAAACTAAGGACAAAGTAAAATCTACATATGTGCACGCTGGAATGTACTTCAGTGGTGAGCGCTTGCCTAGCATGCACAGATCCCTGGGGTTTGATTCCTCTGTAAGGAGGTAGGTAGGTCATAGATACCAGAGTTCAACTGTGGTGTGCCCTGGGTTCAACCCCAACACAAAACACTTTATGAGGTCTCTTACAAATGTGGAAATGACACAGCATCTAGAATTTGTTTCCAAATACTAAAGGAGGTAATCTGTGAGTAAAGAAACTAGAGATGGCATGACTAACCACAACTGAAGATGGGCACACTATGAGGAACTACTGATATTCTGTCTACTGCTGCAGTACACTATGGATCTTGAATGTCATCCAAGGGGACATATGTTGAAGACTTGGATCGAACCCTAGGTGCTACTGGGAGGTAGCAGAACTTTTATTTTTGTTTTGGTTTGCTTTGGTTTGCTTTGGTTTGGTTTGGTTTTTCGAGACAGGGTTTCTCTGTGTAGCTTTGGAGCCTATCCTGGCACTCGCTCTGCATACCAGGCTAGCCTCGAACTCACAGAGATCCGCCTGCCTCTGCCTCCCCAGTGCTGGGATTAAAGGCGTGCGCCACCAACACCCAGCTTGGTAGCAGAACTTTTAGAAGGTAGGGTCTACCTAGAAGAAGACAAGACTGGGGGGGGTGGGGAGGAGACCAGGGCCCCTCCTGTCTCCATTTCTCAGCCATGTGGTAAACAGCCCCCAAGTGCTCCCACCATGGTAAATGTACCACCACAGGCCCAAAGCAACAGGGCCAAGTAGCTTTGAGCCCTTTCCCCTATTAACTAGTCTTCATGTATCTTGTGACGTATGCTGACTGGTACACATATGTGAGAGACTGACTACATGCTAGTGTTCTCCCAACACTTAGCTGAAGCAGCTTCAGTTTCCTGACCTGCTTGAGCTGCAGGACTGTGCCCAGAGTCTCCACCATAGGGTTCTTCTTGTAATGCTCCACCAGGTCTGTCAAAGAGTCAAAGCGCTCTCCTCCGCCAACGTCGTATTTCAGTTCCTTTCAAGACCAAACAGATGGTGCTCATTACCTCATGCTAGGCTTACTGTCTTCCCACCTTCCTGCACTGGATTCTTAGTGACACTTCACCTATATACCTGTATAACCAAGCCACATGTCTGTCTAGAGGGCATGATGAGAAAAAAACATACATGTATCATATCCATGTCTCCACCTGGACCTTGAGAAGAAAACCCTGTCATTGGTTACAGCTGGGTGAGGCAGGAGGCCCTGCCAGTAAATCAAATAAGTACTGAAAGGAATGTGTCACCTCATTTACACAAAGCACCCCCCAAAAAAAGTCCAATACAGTGATGAGAAATCAAAACAGGGCTATAAAGGACTTGGGTGCAGAAGGTACTGGACCCTCTCTTTATGGTGAACGGGCTCAGGACAACCCATAGCATGGTAACAACAGTGGATAGGGTTACATGCACTGGAGATTTGCCAGGAGGACACCTAAAGTGTTACAAGGTGATGGGTACACTTAATGAGCTTGACTGCAAAAAACTAAACAATATTCAACCAAAGGCCAGAGACTGACACCCAGAAACAGAAAGCCCAGTGTTCACAGTACTGTGAAGGAAGGAAGCAACAGCACTGATGATCAGGGTGGAATGGGGGGTTGGGGAGTACTCAGCGGTGGAACGGGTGCTAGGTTCTATCCCAGCACCAAGAACAAGAAATGACATAACACTTAATTCAAAATCAAATATAAACTCCATGTGGCTGCAAGACATTTCCCATCACCTCCAGACTCCTCACGGTGCCTAGTGTGGCATCAGTGCTCATGTTACGTCATGTACACAGCTGTGAAGCTAGATAGGACATGAAAGTCTGCACATGTTTAGACAGACAGGATGCTCAAGACTGCTGGCCCCAGGGGGTGGATCTACAGACAGGGAGGGCCAAGTGCAGTGTCAACCACCTGTGACACTCCTTAGGGCAGCTGATCCCACAGAGCAGATCCAAAAGAAAAACTAAAATGGAAAGTGGCAACAGTTGGGAGGCAAAAGTAGGCAAATCTCTGTAGGTTCCAGGCCTGGCTGGTCTACATAGTGAGTTTCAGGATGGCCAGGGATACACAGAGAGATCCTGTCTCAGAAAAACAAAACAGCTGGGCAGTCGTGGCTCACATCTTTAATCCCATCACTCGGGAGGCAGAGGCAGGCAGAGCTCTGTGAGTTCAAGGCCAGCCTGGTCTACAGAATGAATTCCAGGATAGCCAGGGTTATACAAAGAAACCCAGTCTCAAGCAAACAAAAACAAAACAAAAAAAAAAAAAAAAAAAGGCAACAGAAAAACACAACAACAAAAAAAGGAAAAAAAACAACAAAAGTAACAATGCTTCCAAAACAATGAGACATACACAGGAGAGATGGCCATGAGCAAGTAACCAAGGATAAAATAATCTGGACATATGGGTATCTCTCAGCAGACGTCCCCAAGATGCCACTGTAGCAGACCCACAGTCCCCGTAGGCTCTACCTGACATCGGATCATGACGTGGGTCACTTTGGACTTGCCATCATTGCTCTCCCCTTTGTCATCACCGGTACGGACAGAGAGAACGAAGTCTCCAGGGTGGCTCTGGCTCTCTCGGACAAGGAAGCTGCCATGCTTACCCTTCTCCGTTAGCAATTTCTCTGCTTCTTTTCCAGACAAGTGACCATGGAACCACCTACATGTTTGAAAAGAAAACAAGCTGAGTTCATCTGGGGTGTGCTCTGTTTTTCATGTACCACACTCAAGTCAGTTCTCCTCAACACAGGTTCTAAACAGACACTCTAGGAAGCCGAGTATCTGACTATACAGATTCTGCACCCCAAACTAACAGGAAAAAATGACAGATATGTTAAAAAGGACAACTAAAGTTCGCTTTTCTTTTTTTGAGACAATCTCACTGTGTGGCCCAGGTTGGTCGTGAGTCATGGATCCTTCTGCCTCAGGCTCCTTCGTGCTGAGACTACAGGCAGTGCCACCACACCTAGCCTCCACTAAATTTAAAAAGGAGCCTAGGATCATTTGAAAACAGTATTTAACAGATGATGGTGACGCACACCTTTAATCCCAGCACTCAGGAGGCAGAGGCAGGCAGATCTCTAAGTTTGAGGCCAGCCTGGTCTACAGAGTGAGTTCTGGACAACCAGGGCTATACAGAGAAACCTGAGATCGGGGGTGGGGGTGGGGGCAGAGAGACAGAGAGAAACATCCTCAATGCTTCCTATTTCCTCTTAAATCTCCCATCTTTTAAAAATACAGTTGACATTTTTAAAGTGCCTAACCCTAAAAGAACCAACTATTGAGTTATAGTCATTTAGTGAAGAAATATGAAAAAGTTACAAGCCTGGTGACACATGCCTATAATTCATGTGTACTTACTAGTTTTATGTCAGCTCCGTACAAGCTAGAGTTATTTGGGAAAAGAATGCCTCAATTTGAGAAAATGTCCCTACCAGATTCAAACTTGGCATAACACAAATTGGTCTATGGGCAAACCTATGGTCCATTTTCTTAGCTGATGGTTGACGCAGGAGGCACACCCCACAACTGGCCATGCCATCCTTTGGGCTAGTGGTCCTGGGTGCTTTAAGAAAACAGACTGAGCAAACCAAGAGGGCAGGCCAGTAAACAACATTCCCTCATGGCCTCTACATCAGGTTCCTGCTTCCAGGTTCCTGCCTTGAGTTCCTACCCTGACTTCCCTGGATAATGGATTATAAGTTGTAAGATGAAGTAAACTCTTCCTTCCCCAAGTTGCTCTTGGTCATGGTGTTTTATCACAGTAATAGAAACCCTGACTAAGACATCATACACCAGGGAGTGGAGGCAAAAGATGAGGAGCACAAGTCATCTTCAGTAACACAGCCATCAGGAGGGCAGCCCGGCCTATGTGAGACCTGGACTCAAGCAACAAATAAACAAATTATGAAAGAGACAAAATAATCATGAATCTGGGGCTGGAGAGATGGCTCAGGGGTTAAGAGCACTGGCTGGTCTTCCAGAGGACCTGAGTTCAATTCCCAGAAACCACCAGGTAGCTCACAACCATCTATAATAAAATTTGGCACCCTTTCTGGCATGAAAGTGTACATGAGGGGGGTGGCAGGGGAGGAGGGTAAGGAGAGGGAACTGGAATTGACATGTAAAACAATCTTGTTTCTAATTCAAATAAAAAAATGGAAAATAAAAAGAAAGTGTACTTGCGAGCAGAATATTGTATACATGATAAATCTTTAAAAAAAAACATGAATCTGTGCTCATTTTGACATTAGATAAAAATGGATCTTTGTTATAAATTAATTCAAAGCATTTCAGATTTTTCTGTATTTCCAACCTATACTTAAATGTCTCTCAATCTGCTGTCTAGTTCTTCAAACTACACTGGGTTATCAGTCAAGCTTTAATATGGCATGCATATAATACAGAAATCAAGATATACAGACCCAGAACCTGCAATCAGAAAGGAGACTACAGAAGCCAATGCCAAGGTAAATAAACAAGCACTAGCTCTCAACTCCAAACATAAGAGAAGAGCTGTATACCATGCAGTTCTCTAGGGACACAGTGACAGTTCTCTGCAGTCATGCTTGCACATCTGAGAGACAACATTAAAGAGAGGATGACGAGCCATGGACTTAGCCTGACCTCTGTTGGTAGTTCTACTGAACAACTGGTCTGAGCCACCAAGGAACAATGGTGCTGTTTCAGCATCTCTATCATCCTGTTTTCTCTCCCAGCTCCCAAAGATCATCAGCTGTAGATAAATATTGCAATTAAAGCACGCACTAAATGTGAGAGCCCTGTGGAGTCTCTGTAAGGAACACTGCATTCTGCAAATACTCTGATGCCATCATTCTTACTTTAACACAGCTCAGGGCAGGGGATGTAGCTTGGTGTCTAGAGAGCCTCCCTGGCATGACCCAGCCTGTGCTCAATCTCCAGTACCACATAAGCCAGGCATGGTGAGGCATATCTGTAACCCTAGCACTCAGGAGGTAGAGGCAAGAGGATCAGGAATTCAGTCACCCTCAGCTACACAACGAGTTCCAGGCCACCCTGAACTACACTAGACCCTGTCACAAACAAAACACAACATTTTTAAACTGATAACATGAAAGACAGACACCAGCCTTGTAGTCACACAGGTCCTATGCATTCCACAAGACAGGCAAGAAGCACAGAGCCCTAAAGTCCTGATTTGTGCTAAGATGTCACTGACCTTTCAGAGGTCGGGTCCGCACAATTCAGTGGGTACTTGAGCTCAATAACATCTCCATTCTTCTCTTTCAGCTGCCCATGATGCTCCATATAATACTGGACCAGTTCAGCCAAGGTGGCAAACTTCTCCCCACCATAGAGGTCATAGTAGTCCCCAGTGTTCTGAATCTTGATGTGGGTGACGGCTCCATTTCTTCTAAAATAGTCCATTGTGGAGAAAGGTGTCAAAGAGCAATACTTGGAAAGAGAGACCTCACATTCAGTAGAAGATTTCACCCAAACATTGGAACAAACCCCATGAAAAGATTTACCCCATCCCTGAAACTGGAGGTCAAATAATCCCATCAACTATGCCACCCTGCGCCTGTGCCCTGTGTAGTAGCTTCCATTTTGAATGGCTGGCCTATTTTATAGTATAGGTTAAGTGACAACAATTACTGTCCTTAACAATCAAGGACACACAGTTAAAGATGAAATCAAAATACCCACTTACCTTGATGTCCAGCAAATCCACTAATAATTTTTGCCCAAAGGCAATAAAAATGGATAAATATCAAAAGACATTCAAAAACAGACAAATAAATGACAGAAACTCAAATATGTATCACAAAAATATACCAACAGTCCGGTACTTGGAAGGCTGAGGCAGGAAGACACTAGGCTACAGAGCAAGACCATCTTAAAATAAGAAATTTTAAAGGTTTGATTTTTAAATATATAAATATTGCCTAAAAAGTATAGTGATGCACACTTATAATCCCAGCACTTAGGAGTTTGAGGCAGGAGGGTGAGAAGTTTAAAGACAGTCTTGGATACATGAGATCATGTCTCAAAAACAGAAAACAAAACAAAAAGATCCAATAACAAAATCAACAGGGTCAGAAGGGGAGTAGTGGCACACGCCTTTAATCCCTGAACTTGGGAGGCAGAGGCAGGCAAACTGAGTTTAAGGCCAGCATGGTCTGCAGAGCGAGTTCCAGGACAGCCAGGCCAGTTATACACAGAGAACACCTGTGTGTGTGTGGGGGGGGGGGGGTCAACAGGGCCCAGTGAGATGGTTTAATGGGTAAAGGGGGCTTGTCAACAAAGCTTACCTGACAAACAAGTTTAATCCCCAGGACACACGTGGTGCTGGAAGTAGAAAACTAACTCCTCCAACCTATAAATTCATGCCATGACACTTTCATATGTGCATACAAACACACACACACCAAATAAATGTAAAAAAAAGTTTTCTTTAATTAGTACATAAAAAATTAAATGTTAAAAAAAAAAAATCTGGGGGTATTGAACTGGCTCAGCAGGGAAAATCTGACAACCTAAGCCTAGTCCCTGTGAGCCACAGAAACTGTGGCACAAGGAGAGAATTGTGAAGCACACACATCACACACACAGCAATAAACAAAGTACATTCAAAATCGGATAAATAATACAAAAGTCTACCACACACTTCCTAGTGGGTGACACTGTCCAGTCCAGTCGGTGCTAGTATCTCTTCTATGTAAGGCTCAGGCTGGGGCCCTACAGATGCCCTTACTCACAACTTTCTTTCAAAAGGCTGAAGGAGCTGGTGTGGTGTGGAATGTGACTGTATTCCTAACACAGAGCAAGTAGATCTCTATGAATTCAAAGCTAACCCGGTCTATATATCAAGTTCCAGACCAGTCAGTACTCCCTAGTAAAACCCTGCATCATAAACAAATAAACAAACAAATAAATGAGTAAATAAATAAGTGAACAAGGAAACAGATGCTTCCTAATTCTCAGTGAGATTCTAAATAAACCCTTAAGGACATGAGTTACTCATATCTTTATGTGAAAAGTATTATCTATAAAATCAAATCCATATACTTCAGTTTGAACAGCTAGAATGGACATACAGAAAATATCATCTAGAAAACTCTCCCACACCTACTCAAAGGAACTGTGAGGATGCATTACACTGTTCCCAAGGATTTAAAACAAACCAAAGCCTCCCGATGTCCACCACTAGAAGAATGGAGAAGCTAGTATGTTTGCATCACTTGATCACTGAGTAGCCATTACAATGAACAGCTAGATGTCCCAGCATGCAACTCAAACAGCACTTCAATGGAAGTATGGATTACAGAACGATTAATATGCTGAGAACACAAGAGCAACACATCGGGAGGATCCATGCAACCTCTGAACAATGACTTCCTCTGGAGAAAGGATGAGGGGCATGGGACTAGGCAGGGGACTCAAGGGGACCACAACTCCCTCACAGAGGTTTTCGCTCTTGACAAAGCAAAGTGGTGTGTAGAACCTTAGAGAGACTGATCCCCATGACAAAATCCATAGCAGAAAAGAAATACACAGGAGGCAGGTCAAAGGTGAGGAGCCAGTAATCAGCCTGGAGGCTCCAGTATATCTCTCTGCCCAAGGAATGCTTGATCCCCGCTGTGAGCAGAAGCCCAATGGTCCTTTCCACGACTTCCAAGCCTATGAGTTTGGGGGACCTCAAAAGGCATGGGAACAAGGGCTGGAGAGCTGGCTCATTGGTTAGGAGCACTGGCTGCTCTTCCTGAGGACCCGGGTTCAGTTCCTAGCACCCACATGGTGGCTCACAACTATCTGTTACTCCAGTTCCAAGGGATCTGATGTATTCTTTTAGCCTCCTTGGGCACCAAGCACACACAGGGAGAAAATACACACATACATGCAAGCAGAACATTCATACATATAAAATAAAATCTTTTAAAAAAAAAGCATAGGAATGAGCCAGTGCCCTGAGTGGTTCTACAGTGCAGCAGGCGCTGTGGAAAGGGCTGAGACAGCTTAATGTGGCCTCACCCTTCCTCTGGAAACACCCTGAGTATCCTTTTTACCTTCCAACTTACCTAACAGACAGAGTGAAGTCTCCAGGGTTACTCTTACTGGGCCTTGCCAAAAAACTGCCATCCACTCCTCTGGTCAGCAGGAGATTCTCTGCCTCCACACCAGTGATGTTGGGGTGAAACCATCTGGAAGGAGGGAAAATGACATTGAGAACCAGAGACCTCAGTAGCACCCACACCACCACAGCTGAGTGCCCTCACACCATCGTGGTAGAGGCCTGTGAGCAGCAGCTGACAGCCAGCTTCCGGGCTAGCCCTTTCCCTTTCCTCTTTAGTCCCTTTTCCTGGGTGGGACACGGGGCTCCTGCCATACTGCAGGCACTGGAGGTAGGAGAAGGCCATGGCCAGTGAGGGCTGGGCTGTTAACTCGAGGCTGGGCTGTTAACACGACACCAACACACTGGTGGGTTTGTCTGCCCCAAAAGGTCATCCACACGGTCAGGAAATTGTCTGCACGCAACAAAACCAGACAAACACAAACAACTTCATGAATAAGGACAGGTGCTGAGGCTCATAAGAGCCAGATTCTTTCTCACTGCTAGAGGAAAGAACCAGAACACTGGCAGGGTACTAGACTTGGAACTCAACATGCAAGCTCAACATTCTAATATGCATGTGGAGACAAATACACAAACATATTAACAGAATAAGGTATTTCTAGAAATAAATGTAAGCTGCCTCCCCACAGAATACTTGTTCAAAAAAAAAATCTGATAAACATCACAGTGAAGAATTTAACAGAATTTTTTTCTTTTCTTTTTTAAACAGGAGTAATTAATGTGCCCAAGGCTAGCCTAGAACTTAGACTCTCCCACTTCCAGCCCCTATTATAAGACTACAGGTGCACACCAGCCAACAGCAGACACTACCTTATTCAACTGGCAGTGTCACCTGTCACAGGTAGCAAACTTTGTGCTTCCAAACCCCACATTGGGAACTTCAAATACAATGTCCTTTAGAAGACAAAAGTGACCACTGTGTACAGCATTCACCTCAAAGGAATCCCCCCAGGTTCCAGAAAGTACTCCTTCCTGTGGCTGGAGAGATGGGTTAGAAGTTAAGAGTGCTTATTGTTCTTGCAAAGAAACCTGATTTTAGCTTCCCCCAGCACCTACACAGTGACTAACAATCTGCAACTTAACTCCCGCGGATCTGATTCCCTCTTCTGTCCCCTACTCATCTGATAGCACACACACACACACACACACACACACACACACACACACTATATACCTTTTTTTTTTTTTTTTTCTCGAGACAGGGTTTCTCTGTAGCTTTGGAGGCTATCCTGGAACTAGCTCTTGTAGACCAGGCTGGTCTCAAACTCACAGAGATCCACCTGCCTCTTCTGGGATTAAAGATGTGTGGCTTCATACAGAATACTTAAATAAAATATTTAAGATCTCCTTCATGGACTTCAAATCACCAAGACTTAAGTGAATCAATGCTAAGGCTAAATGACCTGTCTTTAGAGGTTGACATTTCTTAATACTCCCAGGAAATAAGAGTCCATATTAAATGTTAGGATCCAAGGGCTGGGGCTGTACCCCAGTAGCAGAGTGCTTGCCTAGCATAAATGGGGCCCTGGGTTCCGTCTCAGTAATGCATTAGCCATAAACCACAAAAACCAGGGGGTGGGGTACACACCCAAATCTCAGTACTTGAGAGGTGGAGGCCATTCTCAGCTACAGCCTAGGCTACATGATACCCTATCTCAAAAAACGCTGGGTGGTGATGGCCTTTATTCCCAGGTCTTGGGAGGCAGAAGTAGGTGGATCTCAGTGAGTTCCAGTTCGAGGCCAATGGATTCCAGGACAGCCAGGACTGTTACACACAAAACAAAACAAAACAAAACAAAACAAAACAAAACAAAACAAAACGCTTTTTGTGTGCTACTGGAAATAGGACTGAAGGCCCTCCCTAAACATGATAAACATGCTCTCCCACTGAGCTACATGCCCAGTTCCTAAGGTAACCACTGGTCAGCAACCTGGGAAGAGTGAAGAGTGTGGTGATACATTGTTTATAAATTATTAAAGCTTGCCTGAGGATTCAGAAAACAAAGTCAGTCACAAGCCATAGAAGCCAGATATACACCTTTAATCCCAGCAGCCAGACGCTAGGAGGTGGTGGTACACACCTTTGATCCTAGAATTCAGGATTAAGAGATAGATGGATCTCTGTGAGTCCAAGGACACCTAGATCTACTCAAGAGTGAATCAGTGTAAAAGAAAATTACAGCTCACACCTTTAATCCCAACATTAGGGAAGTATATATATAAGACAGAAGATCTCAGAGAGGCATTCAATCTCCAGCCACAATGAGAGGCAACAGTTTGAGACTTGGCGAAGAGCTTGTGTGTGGTTTAGCCCTTTCATCCTGAGCTAGAGGTGAGAGCTAATGGCCGACTGCTTTGCTTTTCTGATCTTCAGCTTGAAGCTTGAAGCTTGAACCCCGATATCTCTGGGTCTTTTATTATTTGTGTTAGAGAAGAGTGAGGCAAAGACACTGCCTGCTAGTGTCCTTTACTGAGTGCCCAGTCCTCAGTAAGCAGCAATGTTAGCTGCCTGTCTCTATAATCATGAGCATTTTCTGTTCTAACAACATGTAAGCTGGGACTGAAGATGTCACAGCAGTCACACAAGGACATCACTGCAGCATCTAACCAGCTTCAGAGGGCTCGAACGCCATTCTGATTAACATCATGACTGTGAAAAGTCTCAAGACTCAAGTCAAAAGAACAAAATAGTAGTTGACTGTCTACTCCTCCCTCTGAGAGATGGTCAAAAGAGCAAGAGAGAGTTTCACCCAGAAATAAAATGACCCTGGTTTATGAAGCCCATTAACCCAGCACCCAATCAATACTTTTGCATTCAGAGGGATCATTTGAGCCACCTAAGGTTTTTTTTGGTTTTGTTTAAAAGAAAGAATGCCAAGTGGTGGTGCCCCATACCTTTAATCCCAGTATTCAGAAGGCAGAGGCAGGTGGATTTCTGCATTCTAGGACAACCTGGTCTAAGAGAGAGTTCCAGGAAATCTTTCTTGAAAAACAAAACAAAGAAAAGAGTCTTGGCTGCAACTTCTCTGAACTACAGTTCCCATCTAGGTCCCATGGGAATCAAGAAGCAGTTAACGGCAGGCTTCGAGCTCTACAGTGTTTCAAAAGGCATAAGTACTCTTGCCTTATCCACACCAGCTAATTAGTATATTAAATGTCTTTTACTCTTGCCTGCCAAACCTCTGTGTTGCTTGGTGTGGTAGTCTAAAGCTGAGAGGCATGAACACCTTCTATTTAAAACAAAACAAACAAACAAAAAACAGCTGGGTGCAGTGGTGCATGCCTTTAGCTGGTCCTAGCACTCAAGAGGCAAAGGCAAGCAGATTTCTCTGAGTTCAAGACCAAACCAGGGCTATATAGTAAGATCCTGTCTAGAAAAGAAAAAGAAAAAGGGAAAACTTTATGTATTTCATAATACAGGTTGGAGACAGAATCCGTCAGAGTACTGGATTTATGGTTTTAATGTTAAAGGCACCCTCCAGTGGGTGAAAAATCATTTGATAGCAAGGCTTTAAAGGTAGAAACCCAGAACCTGGTGCCAAAGTGTCTTGGTTCAAATCCTAGCTGAGTGACTCTTGCTAGTTAATAACGCCTCTTAAGCCATCTATGAAGCAGGGAAAGTAACCGCCCCGCATGGCACAGGGGTTAAGAGGATGAGTTAATGCAGCTCATAAAGCACCCAACTGTCTAGAACAGTGCCTGGAAGTCCATGTGGCCGACAGTAGTTCATACCTTAATCCTCAGGAGGTGGGAAAGCAGGAGGATCAGAGCTTCAAGTCAGTCTAGGCAAGCATAGGGTTCTGAGTTCAGGTCCCCAACACCCAAATAGAAGCGGGGTATGGTGGTTTGTGTCTGTAACTCTGGTACTGGAGCAGTGAAAGAAGGACCCCTAGAGCTTGCAGGCCAGACGCTCTAGCCAAAACCTTGTGGAGATGGTTTTTCCACTTTTATTCAGACTGTAGATTCAGTGAGAAACCCTCTCTCAAAACTAAATTCACAGCCAGGTGTTGGTGGCGCACGCCGTTAATCCCAGCACTGGGGAGGCAGAGGCAGGCGGATCTCTGTGAGTTTGAGGCCAGCCTGGTCTCTAGAGCGAGTGTCAGGATAGGCTCCAAAGCTACACGGGGAAACCCTGTCTCGAAAAAACAAAAAAAAAAAAACTAAAGTCACCCGTGAGAAACTCAGCACGGCACATGCAAGAAGAAACCCAATTTTTAATCTACAACTTGAAGGTCTTCTTGTAGTACATTCTTTTTCCTGAGTACAGAATATTCTACTGTATGAATGTGCCACCACAGTCAAATCCCTGACATAGAAGTTTATGAAGTTGCTTTAGTTACTCACATCTGTAACATTAGTGCTCAGGAGCTGAGGCAGGTAGATCTTTGAGAGACAGAGGCCAACCTAGGCAACACAGCAAGCCTGTCTCAAAAAAAAAAAAAAAAGGACAGTTGCTCATGTGCAACCCTAACATTCATGAGGAGAGTACAATCCAGCCTGGTCTACACAGTAAGTTCCAGGCTAGCCAGGGCTACATAGTCAGACCTTATCTCAGAAATAAAGGAAGGAAGGCAGAAAGGAATGCAGGAGGCAGGGAGGAAGAGGGCACCCCATGACAATGCTGCACTCATCTTTGGACACATTCATGTATGAACATTAGATTTTCAGAAATTAAAAGTGAGATGGCTCAGCAGGTAAAGTGCTTGCTTGCTGTTTAAGCCTGGCATTCCAAGTTTGATCCCTGGAACACACATAAAGGTGGAAGAGAACCAGTGCTAAAGCTACCCTCTGACCTCCACTTGCACCATGGCAAACATGCTCCCCTCCACAATATAATAACAACTAATTTATCAATAAAATGGTTAACATACATTAAGTAATTTTTCAGCTGTGTTTTGCCTTGAGACAGGGCTGCTCTGTTGCCAGGCAACACTAAGCTTGAAAGATCCCTGTCTCTATCTTCCAAGTGCTAAGGTTACAACACGTGTCATTAGGCCTGCTTTTAGGGATTCTTTTGTGTGAGCATGTGTCGCAGACACATAAACACTGGGCTGTATCCCCAGGCCCTACCTCCAATGGTGATTACCCTGACAAGGTACACCTTCCACAGACATTGCGTCCCTCACCTTTACCAACACTGCATAAATTATCAAACTCTGACTGCACCCCTGACCAGTGGAAAGTGGCTTCATCTCAATTTGCATTTCTTTGACACCTTTCCACCAATTTCCTGAGTTGTCAGCATCTCATCCTCTTTTTTTTTTTAAGACAAGGGCCTCATGA